GAAAACCCTGATGGTGAAAGAACTCACTACAATTGTCCAGTCAAGGTTGGGAACCAAGATATGCCCAGAAAAAGTGTCCACGAGAGTGAGTAGCCATCAGACCAGGAAGAGGTACCGATATAAAAACCAGGGGAAAGAAAAGGGTGAGGGGAGATGGGGAGAAAAGGGGCCAAGGGGTCTGATGTGTTGAAGTGACACGGTCCAGTTGTGGGTCACAGGATTCTAATTATGGCTATACCCAACTGGGTAGGTCACTCCAACTAGCCTACCCCAATGAGGAGCGGCTTCGGGGGTCTCTTTCGCCTCTGAATTCTGGCAGGGGGAGCCCTCCATGGTTGGTTCAGCCTCAGAGTCCAGAAATTCCCATGGACTGATACCAACAAAGCCGAGCAAACCCGTCTTTTTTTGGTCTGGAAATAAGTTGGAGCAGGAAGAAGTTTAAAGAAACTGCTTGCCTTTGTCTTGCTTGTCCTTTCCGGCCGGCCCCCCCAGTTACTAAAGAGTTTGGAGCAATACTATTTGCTCCCAGGGAGAGAAAGAGCCTCAAACAGCTTCAAAATTCACCGCCGAGGTCAACTAACCGGTGTCAAACAAAAGCCCCCGGGGATTCATAGGCCCACGTGCAGAGAAACCGTGGCTCTGCGTCACCTTCCTACAGCTCACCCTGGTCCTTGCTCTCAGCATCCTGGTGCCTCTGTGTGGCCATCTTCTGGTTTTCTGCTCCCCTTGATGTATATTCATTTTAATCTGATCTTCCTTATAGAAAAAGATTAGGGGGTGGAAAGTAGGATTTGTTCTGTCCTGGAGATGGCCCCAGGCAGAGAGGCGCTGGGGGTTCAGAGCCAGTCCGCTCAGGGATCAGTCCCAGAGCTGTGTCATCTGTGGTTTTCTCTCATGGAGTTCAGGACTTTTGGCTACTTTGATGCAGTGGTATTTTGCACAGGGCATTCAGTAGGATGGAGACAGTGGGGTTTCCATGTGGGCTCTGAGGAAAATGCCAAGTGACTAACATAAAAGCTTAGTCTGAGAACTGACCGTAGCACGTTACAAGTCATATCCTAGGGAGATCATGTTTGTTCTTTTAAATATGGCAGCTCTTCAGCCAAAAGCAGCAAACAAAGTGCCTGCTCCTTCACGTGATGGAAAGGGTTGCTCAGTTCACGCTGCGAGGCAGCTGTATGGTAGAATATTGCCGATTCAGGCTAAACTGCTGCCTCCTTGGGGTTATTTGGTCTTTTATTTGAAACCTGAATTTCACACAAAAGCACAACAGAAGGGAAAATACAGTTGCCGGAAGGAAGAAGGGACATCAACGCCACGACTCCACCACACGCCAAGGGTTCTGGCGTCCAACCTCCTTCCTGCTCCTCTCCCACACTTTGCCTTGGCTGCACTTCCCTTCATGGCGCTGTGGAAGACTAATTCTACAGACATCCCCTGGAGCCTGAGCCCGGGGTGTTTGTACTTTTAGCTTGGCAGTGTTGAAATAAAACCTACCTCTAAGAAACCTACATAGCGGCAGACATCTTAGGTCCCGTCTACTTAACCATCGAACCTGGAGTCATACGAGAATTACACACAGCGGAGTGGAGACCCCGGATTGTTAGAGAAGATCTAGAATATGGAAGTCTGTCCAACAGACCAAAGCAGTGTGGAGAATGCAGAAAGTTCTGCAAGGGGGTAAAAATGAACACCAAATATTTATTCTTGGGATGCGTCCGTTGTTCATTTCCAGCCCCGCAGAGCAACGCCCTGGCGCTTCTCCCCACAGGATACAGAGGCATTATACCGAACCACATCTGAGAACTCAAAGTGTAACGTGTCAGCCATGCTCTGGAACAAACCAGACGTGGTGGTTCCTGGGAAAGTCGGATATAGACTATGTAAGGGGAAATTTACTGTGATATTTCAGCTAATGCTGTTTTAGTGGCTTGTGGACCCTCCAAACGTACCAACAGGGGGACAGTTCAAAGGAGTGAGAAATCAATTTCTAGGGTGTCGCTCTCCTCTTGCGTCTGCAAGGGTATGGGCTCAACTATCCACTTCTTGCAATAACCAATTCCCTCACTGTATTGAGGAGCTGGAATCCACAACTCCTCTAGCTCCGGTGTCTTCCCTTGGGACTAAAGCCACACCAAATGCCAGGGAGGTGCCACTTCTACCCTAGAGCTATTGAATCTGTTTCTTTTCTCTGTCCTCTCACTAGGAACAGATGGCAGCCCCTGCTCCCTGCTTCTACCTATAGTGGGAGACAGTCAAACCCTTGTGTAAGAGAGACAACTCGCCTCCAGTAGAAAACGAAATAGACCAGGTCAGTGGCTCCCACACTTTAGCCACATGAGAATCCCCTGGAGGACTTGTTAGCCCACAGGACTTGTTAGCCCAATTTCAGGGGTATTTCCCACTCATGTCTCATGTCTGTCACAGGCCAGCTACAGCTCTGCTCTGTGTCACCTTCCCTCCGTGATCCGGTGTAATGAATCTGGCTGGGATGGTGCCCGTCCCGTGGCAGAGGGCAAAGGACATGGTAAACTACTGGTTAGCTCTTAAAGCTTTGGCTTGATAGTTAAGTGGCTCAATTAAATCACATGGCCAAATTGGGCGTCAGTGGCAAGGGAGGGGCAGGTTTTTGTGAATACTGACACAGTTTGCCACCTCCCCCAATATCAGCTATCTCCTTCTTCCATGGTCAGTGAGATCACAATCTGACAACACAAATCGCTGCCCAAAATAAAGACTGAGTTTCTCAGATTGTCCTCCAGCTAGGGGTTGGCCCATACCAATTAGAGTCAATGGGATGTCAGCAGACTGTGGTATAATTACTCCAGAAACTTTCCTAAAAGCGTAGCATAGACATGTCCTTTCTGTGTGTGTGTGTGTGTGTGTGTGTGTGTGTGTGTGTGTGTGCGCGCGCGCGCACGCGCGCTTCATTCCTTTCTCCATCCTCTTGCCTACAATGCCCATGCTGGCATTTTGGAGCATGAGATCGATAGAAAAGATACAATGTATGTGGAATACCATACCAGACCCAGACCACCTACCCACACTTCAAGATGAGAGAGAAATAAAATTCTACCTTCTTGAAAGCATTATTATCTTTGATTTTGTCACTAGCCTCTGTATATAATCATACGTAAGGCACCCTCAGAAAGACTTTCTTTTGAAGTTTGCTCACTTCTGTCTGTAGCTCCTTGGGTTCCACTCATCCATCAGCTCTTTTCTGAGCTTCTGAGCCACAGTCTTTCCTCCACATCCATTTTTTTTTTTTCTCATCCTTAGCAATGCGGTGAGGGTGTCTACAAAAGGGGATCAACTACGGCTTCATTCCTTCTAGGAACATAGACTGACTATAGATGCGTAGAGTGTGACAGGGGGAAAGTGACAATGCAAAGGGGAAAGCTTGTCTGGCTAGACCTTTCCTAAGGAACTTCCAAAATAGGCTTCAGCACATAGCAACTCAGATGACATTGTTCCTCTTTCCTGTCAAACTTCCCCTGCGATTTAGGAACATTTCCTACGTCTGGGTTTATGTGACCTGCACGCCCCGGGTTGCCTCATCCGACCACAGGTAGCAGTGACGACACATAAATGTTGAAGGATCATTGTTAGCAGCCAGGTGATCATGTTTCTCTCCTCTCCTCTCCTTTCATTCTTAACTCCCCATCCCTGTGTCTGCACTCGGGCAGCTTGTTCCCACCCTGCCTGGTTCCGTCATCTGTCCAAAGTCTACTGCTGCCTGCATCTCCCCACAGACAGAGTGGGCGTGGGACAAGAGGAAAGAAGAGGTGTTAACAAAAGCCAAAAGGCTGACAAGGGGGAAAGAGACGCATCGAGTGGGAGATGACCAGCCTCAGAGCTGAAAACCAGAGTCGTGCATGTTCAAGGCCTCACTGGGACACAGTAAAGAGCTTGAGAAAGTAATCTAGAACGTTCTATCAGTGCGCAGACATGCTACCAGTTTAGTGACATGGTTTGTAGACCATAAATTTATATACTTTTAGGAGGATTTCTCTTCTGCTGGAGAACCATCTGTTGGGGGCATTTCACAAAAGACTCTATTGCTCTAGACATCATAAGTCATCTAATAAAACAGGATGTCCCAAGGTGACAATGGTTATATTTCCAAAAATCAAACAACCAAAGCCCACTTTTCGCTGTCAAATAGGGTTGAGATGCACCACATAGAACGTTCTCCTGGAAATCTACAACGTACGTTGGCACATTAAAGGCTCTAAGAATTTCTGGAGCAAAGAAGCCCATTTATTTCTTCACATGTATAGAACCAAATGTACTGAACCACAGAATCCTTCTTCTGAGTATAATATCTATTAATATCTTATGGAACGTTCCTCAGGACACAGTTTAAGAAACTGTTTCAAAAGAATACAAACTTTATGCGCTATGCGCTGTTATTTGTCATAAAGGAGCTATTGCAACCTGTACTCCTGTGAATATTCATAACCTATGGGCATTTCAGTGGGACCACACAAGCATTAAGCACGACAAAGCAGTGCTCGAAATCACATGCCAGTGGCACAAAACTCACAAAATTTGGTTCATGCCATCTACCCCAACCCCAAAACTGTACCGCAAGAGAATAGTTTCAAAGTAGAAGGAATCAACTAAGAAAAGAGAATGAACCATGCTGAATAGTTAATAATAAACCACAAGGGAATACCCGTCTAGAAATGTCTACATGTAGAAGAGACCACGCCAAGGAGGAATGATTTGGATCAAATTATGCAAAAGGAAAAACACAGCGAGTTTGGGAGGATACGATGTACTACTTTAAGTAGGACATTAGCCTAGGGCTTTAGTGGCTCAGCAGCTTTCTCTGCCCAGAGGCAGTGGGAACTAGAAAGAGCTTAGGCTTTAGAGGCCACTTATCCTCATAAAGCCCTGCATTTATTGCTATTACAACATTTCCCACAGTGCATTGTAATCATTATTTTTTGGTGGTTTACCTTATTATGCTGTGCGATCCCTAAGGACAAGTGTTCTCTTACTGCTCTCCCAATCCCAGTCAAGGCTGGCCATACTGGGCCCACAGTCGGCATCCAGGAATGTTCGTTGAATGAATATCTATGAGAATTCTGGCTGCGTCGTTGGATAGCCAGACTCCAGGCGGAACCTTGGTGAGTTAATGGGACTGAGAAGGTTTACAATTGTACAGATTATGTGCCCGTGTGCATGTGGCAGAGGGAAGACAGAAGCAGCAGCAAAGGTTTCACTCGTTGAGTAATAATGGTTGCTCCTGGAAGTGGGGGGGGGGCTGGGTTGCTGGTTGTCAGGAGCGGGTAGGAGACGTAGGTTTCATTCACAGGCTTTTCTTCATCTGGATTTTATCTCCTGATAATGTACTTCCTATTCAAAAGTTAATAAATAGTAGTTTCAAGTCTCTATGAGTGACCACTGGAGTATGAGCTCCTGAATGCTGGCGATGAAAGATTCCACTTTTTGTTTGTGTGTGTTTGTTTCCCCTCTGCTCACTAACCACCATCTAGCACTGGAATAAAATTATTTGTTGGTTGAACGGCTCATGGCCGGCATAGGTAAGAAGCAAACCTAAACCAATCCCTCCACAGAAGGCCTCAAATCTGCTTTTCCAGCCTTGGGTCTCACCCAGCACAACCCTGCACTGAAGTGTAGAAACTCTTGCCATTCTCTGAACACCTCGCACATTCTCCTGCCTGTGTTTGCACAAAATCTGCCTGCAGAAACCCTCTCCACGTTTAGAGGGCCGGCTCAAACGCCTGCTCTTTTCATGAAGCCTCTCCTGAAACCCTCATCAACATCAGAACGAATGCCCCTTTTTCTGTACCTCACCGTACATCGCACCTTACCTTCTGTGCTTGAGTAGTGCCTAACTTAACCACAGAGCTGGCCAAATGTAATCACCGCAGAGCAGGGGTCCTGTGCACAAGCTCTGGAGCTGCCGAGTGGTGGCTGTGTGCACAGGCTGTGAAGTCCAAGTGCACCAGGTCAAATCCTGTTTCTGCAGTGGACCAGTAGGACCTCCTGCGAGTTTTCTCGCTGGTCTAACGGTAATCTTGGTACCCTTTGCGAAAGGGTTATTTTGCGGATTAAAGGAGCTATTCTAACTGTCTTTACATGAGACCAGTTCATTTGGAAAATAAAGCAGGTGGCACAGGGTAGTAAATTTCAAACGTCAGTGTGCACGGGAAGTTCATGTTGAAATTCCGATTCCAGACTCTCTTTAAACGGTTCTGTTTCAGTAGGTGTGGACGGAGCTTGGGAAGATGCATTTAACAAATGCCTCACTCAGCCAAAACATAAGAGACTCTTAAAAACTGAGAACAAACTGAGGGTTGGATGGAGGGTGGGAGGGAGGGGAGGGTGGGTGATGGGTATTGAGGAGGGCCTCTGTTGGGATGAGCACTGGGTGTCGTATGGAAACCAATTTGACAATAAATTTCATATTAAAAAAAAAAAGAAAAAAGAAAAAAGAAATTAAAAAATAAAAACAAACAAAAACACAAATGCCTCACTCAACTTCGTATGATGGCTCTCTGGGACACTGCCCCCAGTCGGTGGCTTCTAACTTCTGATCTACAGGTTAGAACCGCGTGAGGAAGGCTTAAGAGAAACCCCATAGAGAGTCAGAGCCCCAACTCCAAGGTCCTAATTTAAGTTTTCTTGGGTAGGCCTGGGATATCAGCATCTTTAAAGACTCTCCTTGGTGGTTCTACCATGCAGCTAGAGCTGAGAATACCTGCTCTGTTTAGGTTGTTCAAATGTGTCCATTTAAAAATCATTAAAATCCCGTTGAAATGGATTGCCCTTGAAACAGAATATATATGAAAATAAGGATTCTGAAGATTTGGTTTGTATCTAAATGAATAAAATATCATAAAAGAGAAATGTAATTCAAGTACACAGTGACCAAATGATCATTCCTGTTGCATTAATTTGTCTTAAAAACTTACAAGACAAATGTCAATGGGTGAGCCTCACCAAACATCAGCATGCACCCATCAGGAAAGGCAAAGCAGTTGATTGGCAGTGACATTTGCAATGTACCTATTGTTCGATGCACGCAGTTCTTAAAGTGGAACATCTTCTAAAGTCCGTGGTGCACTAACTGCTATGAGAGTTCTGGGCATGTGTTCTTACGGTTAACAATGAAAAAAGGTATTTATGCCTTTAATTGAAAGAAGCAAGCAAATCGATTCCACTAAGATACCAATTTTTGTACAAATCTAGGAAACCAAATTTCTAAAGAATGTCATTTTCAATTCCGTAGTCTTCCAAGAATTTCAGCCCAAACAGACTGAAGTAGGACATGAAATGACTCATCAGGATGAAAGGGTGAAATTATTCAGGACAAACAGATTTTGTTTATTTTAAAACCAATCTGAAATAGTCTGCCCTTTAAAAAAAATATGACTCAAGGTAGATAGCAAGTAATTTGTATGAAGTGGACAATGTGATTCATGAAAACCAGCCATTCTGGCTACCTAACCATAAGTGTATAATATCTCACAGAACAAGTCATTTATACAGAGCTGTCAGGAAAGAAAAGTAGGAATGAAATTTGTCCCATTGTGGATTTCCTGTTGTGGGTTTCCCTAGAAATCCGGCTATAAAATAAGATATCGAATTATCATCAGTGAAATGGCGATTTGGCTGAAATCTGAAAAACTAAACACACACTCTATTTTCCACAATATGCATGTAAGAAACCAGCCCCTGGATTGAGTATAGCAACAATTCACTCATTTGGAATCATGAATTGAATCACTCCAAACTTGAAGACCAAGGATTTTTTCTCAGGAAACTATTTTTGGGTTCACGATGTGTATGCCCGGAAGTCAGACCTCGGGTGCTACATCCGTCATTTTGTTGAAAGCCCCTGCGGTCATCTTCTGGATTTCTGGTGTACCGTATTCTCTGGAATATTCCTGGGACTTCAAAGACAGTGAAGCATCGTGGAAATACCACGCTCGGGCAAGTAGGACTTCACCAACCACTTTGATATACGGCACCCAAGCTTGCCAAGCCAAAGACACGAAATCCCCTTTTAACCATAATCTCAATGTGATGTGTCTTCAAATATCCAGTAAAAAATTAAAAACACGTTCCTCTTCTCTTCACACAAATCCTCCTGCCCCCACGCCAAGATAAAGAGAACTTGCTGTTGTGACTTCTGATGTTTGGATCACTAGAACCAATGACCCCTGGAAGCCTCAAAGGAAAGATCTCGTGGTGTATGTACTTGTGGCCCACAGCCACCACCATTGATTCCAACGTAGGCCCTTGAGCCTCAAAGGACAAGTGTAAACAAAAGTTTCTCATTAAACCTGAGGTTAGCATTAGTAAGATTGCCCAAAGATCACATTTGAAGATAACCGAAGTGTTACTATATTCCTTTGTGCAGCCCAGCCATGACCCTAATTAATGTGTCTAGGGTGGACATGTATTTCTTCAAGTAATGGGTAGTTTTGTTTGGACAATTAGACCAAGCTGACAAGGAAATTTTCCATTAAACCAAGTCATAAAAAGTACATTATTCAGCATTATGATGAGTTAAGCAGTATTTATTACCTGAACTTTACAATACTCTATTATCAATCATTACCTGCCATTAAGGTATGTTAACATGAGATCAAAGAGAGAAGCCAAGCTAAACAAACAGTCCTGTCTACGAGTCGCTTTAGTGCTGTTTGTTTAAAGAGAGGCAAATGCCGTTGAACTTAAAGATGAACAATTTGCATTTAACCAGAAGATGCAAATCAGCGGTACTGTGACAAGGCAGTAGTTCTATAAATTCCACGTTTGTCATTCAATTGACGAGGCAAAGCTGGTTTCTAGGGAATTTCTAAAAGAAAAAATGTAATCAAAGTAAAACGTGAGATACGAAAGTCCGATTTTGATGGGTGCTAGTAAAGATTCATTGTTGTATCAATTCTCAGCAACAATGCTGCCTCGGAAGTCACTAAAAATGATATCAGCTGAATGGATCTAAAGAGGAGGCTGAATGTTTTTAGCAAAGTTGTAAAACCTTGGAAACCACCTCCTGAACAAACACTCTGAGAGCTCAGAAGTCTAAGATGAGCTTACAATGCCTTGACTTAAAAATCTATCCTTGTCTCCACCTCTTCCCTTTTACTCTGGAGCCAAGAGCACAAACAAGGTTTCTGAAAGATATTTCTTTGAAAAATACATTCCTCTTTCTTTGTTCCAGAAGCACACGACCCATCCTTTCTGAAATAAAGCTTGTTCATCCGTGCCCACTGGCTTCTCTTCCCACGTCTTAGAGCTGATGTTCAAGAGACGGCTAGTGTTCAACTTTGGCTCAAGGTCGTCTACAAAGAGCTGGACGGGCTCTTTAACACTTCTCATGCAAATATAGTAAAGGGTCGGCTTGAGGATCAAACAGCCTTTCCAGTTTCTATCTGCCTTTTCTAACTGATCTAAGATGGACAATACACAACCATGGCAAAGGAAGGGAGGCAATATCCTCATTTTCTTTATATTTAGCATTAGGCAATCCTACAGATTCAATGTGGAACTTTTCCTTATCATAGAACATCAGTTGGACAATTGTTTTCCAAATTATGTTACTGACAAGGATTCTCAAAAGTAACTAACCAAGTAACTAGCCAAGTGGTTGGAACCAACCACCAGCCAGAGGCGCCTGGGTGCCTCAGTCGGTTAAACGTCTGACTTTGGCCCAGGTCATGATCTCGTGATTGGTGAGTTCAAGCCCCACACTGGGCTCTGTGCTGATGGCTCAGAGCCTGGAGACTGCTTCAGATTCTGTGTCTTCCTCTCTCTCTCTCTGCCCCTCCCCTGCCCATTCTCTCTCTCTCTCTCTCTCTCTCTCTCTCTCTCTCAAAATAAATAAACATTTTTAAAAAATAATAAAAAAAAGAACCAACCACTAGCCAATCAGCAAAGAACACTGAGCAACTCACTGCAGTGGGGGATCACAATGGGATGAAATTTGGCCTCCACTTTATAACGTGCAAGGCTAGATACATAGGAAGAAGGCTGACGCCATTGACCAGGATTTGGGAAGAGCAAGGAGAGTAAGAGAGTCAAGTGGGCACCATGGTCTGGTAGTTAAGCCATCTCTCCATTCAGTGCACAGGGGCACAGAACTCTGAGTTAG